AAAGACAAAGAAGGCTTCTGTCGTCTTGCAACTTACAGCGTAGTAAGGGATATGGACAACACATGAGTAAATGTCTTAATTCACTATCATTTTTATTGTGGTGATAGAGCAAACTAAGTAGAGTGAAGAAATATAGAGAATGAGTAGGGAGCTTCCTCTCTTTTAGCTCTCAAGAGATTTTCATGAAAACTTAGGTGGGACTGACTGGGAGTTAGAACGTTCCAGGATTTGGCAATTGCAAGCGCAGAGGCTATGATGTGGGGAGAAAAGGGTATGTCACGGGACCAGCGGATACTGGAAGCCAGCAAGGAGGCTGGAGAGAGAGGCGAGGTCTCGTAGATCTTGGTGTTTTTATATTTAAGTGTATGTTCAGTACATGGTAGATAAAATTATTACCTTGGGTTCAATTTTCTTTAAAAATTTTTAAATTATGCTTTAAGTTCTGGGGTACCTGTGCAGATTGTGTAGGATTGTTATATAGGTATACACATGCCATGGTGGTTTGCTGCATCCATCTGCCTGTCATCCACATTAGGCACTTCTCCTAAGGTTATCAGCTTCAATTTTCAATTGCAAAAGAAGAATAATACCAATCACATGAAAAGTTATTGGGCCACTTAAACGAGATGGTTGCTTAGCACCCAGCATCCTGCTAGGCACATGCTGGGAATTCCATATGCAGAGCTTTCTCGCTCTTTGCTTCATTCTTTAAATTATTCTCCTTTCAGCCACTCCCTCGGTGGAATCACACTCAGTATGAATAAGGGTATATATGCAGGATGGACAGTGAAGAGTCAGTGAAAGAGTAGTTGGACTTGGGGAAATGGGAGTGAGGGGGAGCAATGGTTTCCACACCGAAGGCAGGTTAAGGAGAGAGCAGCATCTTTTCAAAGCATCAGGACTCCTGCTGCGAGGTGGTGGGTGAAAAAGTTGGGGAGAGGACACATGCAACCTTTTGGTTTATGGAGAACTTTCCAAGTGTAGAAATTCGTGTAGAAGAAAGTTCATAAGAAAGCCCCATCTTCAATGGCCTAATTAAGTCTTGACATTCAAATTTCAAACGAATTTTGGGGAAATAACTTCTCAGATTCTCATCATATAGTACTTGTTCAATATGAATAGAAATAATTAGTTTGCTGAAATAATTACCATGCCCAAGAATAACCAGAGACTTTTCCCCAATTTTTACTTTTAGATAAATGTTAAGTATCTTTAAAGTGCCTTTGATTTCTTCTTTTCTTAAGAATCATTAGAAGGTGGAAAAAATATGATAAAGGTGAAGGGAAAAGCAGGATAATGATGGAGAGTGCACATAAAGAGAATGCCACATCGACCTGGCAGAGAAATGTTCTCGGCAGTGATTTTAGTTACCGAAACAGTAAAGGCTATTAATACTAATCTTATCTAAAGAAGGCCAGCAGCATGATTGTGTTTTTTTCCAGACATTTCTGAAAGCCTACTTCAGAATAGTCATCCATTCTGCTTGAAGGCCCTTCAGAGTAAAGTGAGCACACCAGTCTGAGATCAGGCAGTCCAGAGACCCTATGGCAGCCCAGAGACCCTATGGCAGCCCAGCCAGGCTGAGAGAGTAACCTTCTATGGGTCATTTATCCTGTCTGATCATCAGTTTCATCACCTGGAAAGTGAGAATGCCAAATTTAACTTAGGGGGTTGAGATTGATGCTATGATTGTGTAGCATGCCAAGCACTTTCATTGGCACCTCGTAGGACCCTCAGTAAAAGAGGCAAGTCTCCTTCCTTTCCTTTTCTTGGGTAGAAGGATTGGTGGAATGAATGACAGCCAGAATCAGTTTCCAGAATGCCTGAGTTCTCAGCCTCCCTGGGGAATCTCTTAGCAGACAAGTCTCTGTTTCTACAGGTTTTTCTCCAGGGCAAATGGAGCAAGTTAAGCTAGATCATATCGAGTGCTTGGGCCTTTTTTTGATCAGAACAGAAGAGTCCTGAGTTCTCCAATATCCCCTTTCAAGCACAGCAGCCTCTGGAGGTTCCAGTGAAGCCCCGTTAAACTGACCTGAGTCCTCTGTTGTTATTTCAAAAACAGCAATTGCCCTTTTATATGCAATATGGTAGTAATTTCATTTTAGGACCCTTAAAAAAGGGTTGTTATTACTGAAATGTCTCCACATTATTAGTCTAGGATGAAAACTGGATGAGCCATCTCTTTAGTGTCTTCCTCCAAGCCTCACAGCCACTCTTACCACTAAAATGATTAGGAAAAGCAAACAGGATAAAACGTGGTAAGAGAGAGGATGGAGAGAAAAATGTCTATGTCAGTGACTGGCACAAAGCTGAACTAACCCTACTTCCCACTGTCCCAGCTAGACATTTCTTGAGTGACACTCTTAGATATTTTGCTTTTGTTTTGTTTCAATTGTCCTTTGAATGATGTAATCCCTAGGCTACTAGGAAAGATCCACTTCTATCAATGGAACTTCAAGTCCAAATTTAGTGAAATAGAAGAGAAAGTCTAGTAGCCCTTCCCTACCCCCACTGTACACTGTTCTTGCCCATTCCAGACCTGCCCTCGGGAGAGATGTGGCCAGTTATGTGAGACAAATGGGTACCTGGCAAAGAGAAGTCTCGTCAGCAAATCACTCTCTTAAATGTAACAGAAGTCCTCAGCCTCTGTTACAACAGGCTCCTGGGAAGGGATGCTTCTTTGCCTTTTGAGGGTTACACATAAATCTGGGTGCTTTTCTCAGTTCTGACCCACACACTTCATTACGTCCTTTAATGAACTGTATTAAAATTCTTAAATGAAGCTTTACCATAAAGGACTACTGATTGCATTTATTTACCGTTAAAATTCTTCAGTTGTTGACACTAGTGCAGCATACCTTCTTGCTTTATTGAGAGATAATTTTAATATCTAAAGATTTGTTAATATAACTATAGCATAGAATTAAGTAACATACTCTTCTGTCTAACAGAAGTGACAGCATCTCATAGTGGAGAAAGCACTGGATGTATGGCTCTGGCATTGTCATTTTATATCTTGCAAAGTGTGAGAATTAGATATGGTGATGTCTGTGATTGCTTTCAAATGCAATTTTATGTTCCCAACTTTATTTAATTAATTTATTTTTTTGGAATAGAGTCTCATTCTGTCGCCCAGGCTGGAGTGCAGGGGTGCCGTCTTGGCGCATTGCAAACTCCACCTCCCAGGTACAAGCGATTCTACTACCTCAGCCTCCCAAGTAGCTGAGATTACAGGTGCCTGCCACCACACCTGGCTAATTTTTTTTTTTTTTTTTTTTTGTATTTTTAGTAGAGATGGTGTTTTGCCATGTTGAACAACCTGGTCTTGAATTCCTGACCTCAGGTGATCCACCTGCCTCAGCCTCCCAACTCCAACTTTAAGTAGATTTTATTTTTTTGAGACGGAGTTTTGCTGTTGTTACCCAGGCTGGAGTGCAATGGCACTATCTCGGCTCACCGCAACCTCCGCCTCCTGGGTTCAGGCAATTCTCCTGCCTCAGCCTCCTGAGTAGCTGGGATTACAGGCACGCACCACCATACCTAGCTAATGTTTTGTATTTTTAGTAGAGACGGGGTTTCACCATGTTGACCAGGATGGTCTCGATCTCTTGACCTCGTGATCTTCCCGCCTTGACCTCCCAAAGTGCTGGGATTACAGGCTTGAGCCACCACGCCCGGCAAGTAGATTTTTTTTTTTTACTCTAATCATCCAACGGATAATAGACACATTTGGTCAACATTTTTGACTGTCGATGTTCAGTGCAATTAAAAATTCAATTCTGAACTCAATGGCTGCGTAGAGATGCTCTGCAAGTGTGAGACGGAGCACCAGAAAGTCAGGCCATATGATTATTTGAAGAGAGCTCTTCTTAGTGATTCAAGAATCCACTTCTGCATTCATGCAGAAGGGTTTATCTACTTAAAAAATTACTAGCCCTTAACTATCAACAACATAGCAACCCCAGACCTTTTAAACAAAGGGGTGCAAAAACAGCTTGTGTTATTTTAGATAAAAAACATTGCTGATGCCACAATAATGACTTAAATATAAAGAGATGGCCAGCAGACCACATAAATGTAGCCTGGCTATTTTTTCTTTCTCCCAAGTTCAATCATCTGACCCTTTATTAATTCTTCTATTTTAAACATCTTGCTAGCCTTTCCAGTTGTGTATTACAAGATGTTTAGCAGAACTTACTAATTGCCGGTAGAGTGCCCTGTTTCAAATATGACACCCCAAAATGTCTTCAACCATTGCCATAAGTTTCCATGGGGCAAAAATCACCCTGGGGTGAGAAGCACTGGTCTATGTGTACTTTTTTTCCTAATTCTGAATTGACTTTCTTAAGCATAAGACCAAGTGCTCAGAAATTGTTATTATATTTTCATTATTCTGAACATTACTAATGTCTTCATTGACATAGGACTTCACAATTTACCAAGTATTTCCACCCACATTATCTGTGGAGATTAATGCATAGCAGTTTACTGTCTCCAACAAATTAGAAGAAAGAGGCATGTTTTCTGTAACTGTCTCTGCATTCCTTTTAACTGTGTTTACAATCCTGCATATTTGACAAAAGAGGTCTTGCCATGAGGAAGATGTATTTAGGACAAGTCAGGCATTGTGTAAATGAAATCTGATATAATCTTTTCAAGAGAAAGGAAAGAGAGAGAGAGAGAGAGAGAGAGAGAGAGAGATGTTTAATCACCTTGAAATGATGTCCTTCTCTCATCTTCTGCTGGTAGGAGTCACATACCACCCGGTCTACCCATACAAACACATATTTACAGCTAAACACTCACATGCAGCTTCAATGAAGCCCCATGAACCCTCTGAGCCCCTTGCCTCTTTAAAAGGTTCTGAAAATTATAATCTTTAGCCTAAACTGGACTGCTGCAGTTTTATCATGCTACATTAAGTAAAAACTAGATGGCATTTTTGAAAAATAGAAAATGACATTTCTCCCACACTTGCACCTCCTCCCTAGCCCTCTTACCTGCTTGAGGATTTCAGCAGCTGTTTCATGTGAACAATCAAATATCACATAGAACTCCTTGCCTTTCTTCATCTCCTTGAGTAGAGGCTTGGCATCTTTATTCCCAGAAGGCAGCTGGCGGATTTTGATTTTAATATTATATCTGGAGGGAGCTTTGATGAGCTCTTGTAGACGAATTAGACCTAGAAAATGACATCCAATCATGCAACAGAGACTGTTCTGTCGACAGTATTGTTTATTACCATTTATAGTTAAACTTGTTTCGACTCCAAAGTGTACCCAGTGGTCACCTTCCTAACTCTCCCATTTGTCATTCATTTTTCTGTGGTGGATTATACTATTTTCCCTTTTGGTTATGTATGGCTTGGAAGCATAATTTTCCTAGGAGCATTTTAAATTTATTTAGAAGGAAATTGTCCTTTCAGCTTTCAGCAAATGCCTCAAATTTTTAACAAATCAAGCCTGCAACTGTAAAACTTAGTAAACAAAAAGTAGGTTGAAGTTTCCAAAAGTGTTTGATGAAATAGATCACATCTGCTTACTTGAAAAGCCAATAGAATGTGAAGATTTCTCTTGACTGTAAACTTCTCTAAGTCTTTTACTAAGTATTTGTATATAACATACTCTTAACCAGCTAATTCGTTGGGTTACTTTATATAATCTTTCAGCTCTTGCCATCTAAACTATCTGTAAATGGCTCATTACATTTTCTTGCTAATATATTTGAATGTTAAATTGGAAAATCCTACTTAATGTTTTAAAAAGACCATGGAATTTTTAGAAATTATGATCATAAAAGCAGAAACAGAATTTAAAAAAACCTTCTCTATTGGTTATTGCAACAAAACGTATGTGTGTAACTAACTTGATGGAGAATGTTTGATTTACCACAGGTGTGGAGCTACTGATCTGCACCATTTCCTAATGTAAGTGCTTTCCAAGGCAAGAAAAGTCACTGTGTAAAACCCTCCGTCTTATTTCCCCCAATGTTAGCAGGTGCTCACTGCACTGCATAGTGTTGGCTCTCACTCAAGGACTTCCATCAGTCTGAAACATTGAGGTTTTCTTTTTTGGCATGCAGTTCTGTGCCTTCCGAATTTGTTAGCTTTAGATAATTAATAGGGAATATTAAGCTTCATGAGTATTCAATGAAAATTGTGGTATGCTCTGTGCAAGATTCATCATGGATACCAGCTACTGCCAAACTTGAGGCATTTTTCTTTTTCTTGTTTTATTTATGTAGCTACCTTTTTTTTTTTTTACTAGAACATACATTTGTGTTTGTGTGTGTGTGTGTGTGGTTCAAATGAGAAAAAGTTTCTCTATCATCATAGTTAGGTTTGATTCTGATATACAATAAATTTATCATGATATTGAACTTCAGAGTTAAGTGTGGAGGGGTGATAGAATGGAAGGGTGATTGCTGTAGAACCTTATGTAGATTTAGTGCTTTTTGTCTGATATGACTTGGCTCTGTGTCCCCACTCAAATCTCCCCCACTTGCAATCCCCATGTATTAGGGGAGGAACTTGGTGGGAGGTGACTGGATCATGGATCATACTCTCTCTCTCTTTTCTGCCACCATGTATGATGTTTCTTACTTCCCCTTCCCCTTCTGCCTTGATTGTAAGTTTCCTGAGCCCTCCCCAGCCATGTGATAGTACGAAACAATTAAACCTCTTTTCTTTATAAATTACTCAGTCTCAGGTAGTTCTTCATAGCAGTGTGAAAATATGCTAATATGCTAATAAATTAACCTTTTTTTTTTTTTACACAAAAATTGAATTGCTAGAATAATAGGCTTCCTGGATTCTTGCTCCTTTTCAAATCAGTCAATGTGGTTGAAGCCCCTCAGGTCCCAATAATCAGCCACTTGTCATCTCAATTCCAGAGTCACATGTCCTGAACTACTGAGGAGCATTAAAAATGAAAGAACATATAGAACGTGGAATCATATATTTGTTATTTGTAATATGTGTTAATCTTTGAACTATTCCTAGGATGTAACCATTGTTACTGTTATTTAAATGAGTAATTCAGGGCCCAGAATAGTTAAGTAATTTACAAAGATAGTTAAGAAGAATCTTGGATTAAAACTGCTATATGTGAATCCAACACTTAATCTTTTGACATCACCATCCTGGCTTATAAATACAAGTTGTTGGTGCTGAGGGAACAGATATAGTGTAGGGCTTAGGACTTTTTGATGAGATGGGAAAAAAATAGAGACCCCAGGCTGCCCGAGTTTCTCTCCTGTTTTCTCTTGTTACCCACCTTCTTTGCAATCACATATTTTATTTTTTCATGAGCATGACCATAAGGGACGGTTTAATGTGGTCTCTAAATAACATGGGGAAAACATTTAAAAAGGGCATTTTGTGTGCTGCAATGAACTGCTCTCTTGTTCTTTGTTGAATAGAATGTCACATCTTTCCATCATCATGACTTACATATTTATGGGATTTAAAGTTGACATACATTTTCTCACTTCCTTTCATTTATTTTTATGGGAAAACATTTGCTGGATGCTCATTAGATGCCAAGCTTCATGTTAAGCTCTGGGGGTGCAAGACAACACAACCTGCTTCAAAGTCCTCACAGCCTGTAGGAGAATTTTATCCCGTCAGCTCTCTTCAGGTAGATGGGGCATCGATTACCCCTTAACATTACAGATTGTGAGCTAAGGCTGCTGAAGACTGGAGCAACATGCTCAAGGTTATATAGCTAATAAGTGGCAGAACCAGGGATTAAGGCCAAATCTACCTTCTGATACCAAATCTAGGGCTCTTTCCTCCAAATCACTGGCCCCTCCCAACTTTTGGATTTCTGGTCAACTGGCTGAATGAAAAACTAATGAACTGACTGATTAACTATATTTATAAATAGCTGTATAAGTAAGCAAAAAGAACATTTTAGATTAGCACACAATATTTAATCCTCATTTGGCATACTAGGCCATTAATCAACATCACCCCCAAATATGAACATTAACTTTTACAATTGTTTCATAAAAGAAAGTATGTTTTAATACCAATAGAGAAAAAAGGAGAACATCTCAGTCCAAAAGACTAGTTTCTAATTGGAATAAATTTATCTTTTACAAAAAACTCACTGTTAAACTCCTACTTTTCTCCTTTTGCCAGTATATAGGTAAATTGGCCTCAGAAAGGGGGAGGATCAGCAGATTTAAAGATTAGGGACCAAAACTACAAGAAGAATAATGAACAAGGAAGAGTGAGTTTTCCATTTCTCTTCCTGAAGAAGCAATTGTTTGCTTCAGAAAAGCCTTTCTGCTTTCATTAGCAAATGATGGAGAATTTACAATTCAAAAGGCACAGTAGACAAAATTTAGAGAAAGCATTCCCTTATATTTGCATTTCGTAACAATCCATCAATCATTTACTTTTCTTTGTAACGAATAGTTGAGAATTATTTACTAAACAAATAATTACTTCAGAGGAAGGACATCGATTTAGGCGCAACACCTAGCTTTGCTAATCCTCCCGTGTTTGGATGCTGCCCTGATGGAGTGACCCAACCCTGTCAGCACTCCAGTTGCAGTGAACGGTAAAGGTGCATGTCATACTGATAATGTGAATTTTTTTTCTGGCCCACTGAGATGATGGGAGTTTAAAAATAAAATATAGATAAGAGAGAGCCAGACAAACCCAACAGAGGGACATTCTACAATAAAGCTCACCTGGACTCTTTAAAAATGTCAATGTCACATATGGTAAAAGAAAGCTGAATTGTCTGAATTGAACGAGACGAAATGGATTTGACAACTGAATGCCATGAATGATCCTCTGACAATTAGCAAATATATATTTTTTGCTAGTAATCATATTAGCAAATATATATTGCTATATATTTATATAATGTTATCATGTTACTGTTAACTTTCCTGTACTTGATCATTGTAGTGTGGTTATAACGAAGAAGGTCTTTCCTAGGAAATTCATGCTAATGTATTTATGCAGAAAAAGGTCAGGATGTGCAGCTTACTTTCACATGGTTCAACAGTGCTGCTGCTTAGTATTATTTTTATTGTTGTAAGTATTTCTATATTAAGAAAATGATAGAGAATTATAGCAAATGTGGCCAAATGATAAGTGATGAATGAAGGGTGTCCAGGAGTTTATTGTACAAGTCCAGCAACTTTTCTCTAAGTTCAAATCTTTCTCAATAAAAAGACAAAACATACTGATATAAAATAATATCGTAAGAGCCTCTTTCTTCCACTTCTGTCCCCAAGAATGAAATTGGAAATGCAACTTTGATTGAATAAACGCTTTAGGGAAAGAAGGCTTTTTTTTTTTTTTTTTTTTGCCACATGAATGTGAGCTAAGCTCTGCATATAGATACAACTTTCAAAAATATCCAAATGGCCAATTCTAAACACTTGCTTTGGCTGCCTGTCTACTTGGTGCACTCAGATGTGACACAGAAAAAAATGCTGATTTGCATGCATATCGCGTGACTCAGGCAACAGGTGGAGCATATGGAGGAGGAAGAAAAAACCCTCTGCTATTTCCAGTGAGCATTTAAAATTTCCTATGCCTTCCCTTTAAGTAATAACTAACTTTGCTATTTAGATTGCCCCTTTTTATGAAGTTGGCTACATGCCTTATAAATAGCGAAATAAACCTTAGAATATACCTCTGAGGTGAATAGATGTCAGTGCTATTTTACAGTGAGGAAAGTGAGGCATGGTGAGGTTAATTGTTTGGATCGGCCCTGAAAATGGGTCACAAATGCCAGGAATTGGAAGAGACCTTCAGGTCAAACTCCTACTTGATGCATGAGTCCCCTCTACACAGGCACTGCTGAACACCTCTCAGTGTGAGAAATTCTCTACCTTACAGCACAGTCCAATCCATTTCTGGTTAGCTTTAGCTATCTTTAATGAGTCTCCATTCAAAAGAAAAGTACCTGGGTTTTCTTGAGTCTTAATCCAATTCCCTGTTTGTGAAATCGCAGCAGTGTGTTTGATGCTGTAAAAATAAACGTAACAAACCACTGGGACCCAAAGATCAGGTTGCACATTTTAAATGTTAATTTCTTCTCTACTTGAACTTGGAAATATATAAAATGGCATTTCATAAACTTGTGGGTATATTAATATACCCAAAATCTAATAGGATCCTTAAGGGAATCTGTGTATCCTCTAGAGCACAGGAAA